ATTTTAAAAGTGGAAATTTCAGTGAATTAAAAAAATGAAGAAAATAATTTGTCTTTCACACATTTCGTATGAACCATCATTTCTTACTAACAAATAATGGTTTGGTGCAATTTTCTTNAAAGCGGAAATTTCAATATTTAAAAAAATGAAGAAAATGATCTGCCTGAATTTACGAGTTAAAGCCTAAAGGCGCCAATAAGGGGGCGATTGGATATTGTTTCAACAGTAAAAAATCAATCAAAACTCAAATTTTAACTCAACTTTAACTCAACTCCACTATCTCCAATTTTATCAATATAATTAAATAATACAACCAATCATTCTTATACATCACATCAACTTAAATTCACTATTCATCCACTCACATAATTTTAACTAACTATCACGTCCAATCATTTTTCTCCTACTTTACATCAAATCAACTTTAATTATTTTATTTAAATATTAATTAAATATATCCACTAACAACTAACCATATCACTTTTTTTCAAAATTAACTATAGTTAAAACCAAACCAAATAAAAACTAGTTGAATTTATAAACAATCACACCCTAAATGATGATGGGCCACGCAAAATGTAACAAGCAAGATTCAATGATGTGTCTGGAGTTGGGAACCTTTCTTAAAGCAAAGTTTATTATAATTTATGTTTTTTGGTTGGATACAGAGATTGGAAAAGAAGCGTAGAACCCGTGACCTGAAAGCGTAATTGAATGAGTCTGAGTCAAATAAATTTAGAAGACCATCACGAGAGCTTCTTTATCTAATAAGTAGTAATTTTTTATTTTTGTTTTTTCAAAATTTGGACCACTCCCCATTTCCCCAAAATATAAAGTATTCCACACTCAATTTGATGTTTAGAATTTTCTTGGAAATTCCAAATCATGCCTTCTTTTCTCCATTTTTTGCACAACGATTGTATAATTAATTCTAATACATAATTAATTTTCGATGAGATTGTGGGTGCATTTAAATGTTCTATACTTCTATCCAATATCCATGCTTTATTGTTTTAAATGCATACTTATATATTGAAAGCGTATTCTTTTGCTCACGTTAAACTGTCTAGGTTATGAAGATATGAAATTTCGTTATCACAATTTGTTAATTTTTTAAATAATATGTCAGGCTAACTTATAGCCACAATTAAGAATCAAATTTCACTTAATCGTTACATTTTATATCAAGAGTGTAATTATATTTTTTAATTATTCTATTATATAATAATACTAACTAATTATAAGTATAATAAAGTTACTTATCAAGAATTTTGTTACAAACTTTTTTCTTCAAATTATTTATCATAATAATAATTTTTTTTTTTAAATCTCATTAAGATAGTTTTATTTAAAATAGATAATCAATTGTAATGGCATAACAAAAACCTTTTAAAATCACATAAATAATAATAATAATAATAATAATAATAATAATAATAATAATTTTCAGTCAATGAGTTCGTCAATATCTCTCAAAATTATAAATTTTATATTCTTTATTACGATTTATGTTATAAATATGGTGATTCGTATGTAAGTTAATTATACAATTTATATTTATGCTGTATCTTTTTACTAATTATCGAAATTTTAAAATATGTTATACTCATTATCTAACTTATAACTCCGAATATTATATACATATAATGCATTATATTTTTTGTGCTCAAGATCAATTAGTTTTCTTAGATTGTAGAAGAGCTCTCATACACTACAAAAAAATTGTTATATTTTAACAAAAAATCCTATGGTAGTTTATTCCAATGGAAATTCCAACGAATATTCCAATTAATGGTACAGCTTCCGTTGGAATCATTCCAACAGAAATTCCAACGAAAATATTCCGTTGGAATGTGTTTTCAATGGAATTTTAGATAGAATTTGATGATTTCAACGGCTATATTTCCAATGGCTTTTTACTGTTGGAATTTTTATTTCCACGTCCGTTAAAAAATTTACCGTTGGAATCGTCAAAATTCAACGAAAATTTCAATGGAAAACTCATTCCAACGGAATATTTTTGTTGGAATTTTCCTTGGAATCCATTGGAAAATTCCAACGGAAATAATAGCATTGAAAAATATCTATTGGAATTGCCGTTGCAATTTTATTTGAATATATTTTCGTTGAAATTTTATCATTTTCTTGTAATGTATAATTTTAATTATTTGATGAACCAAATTAGAGGATTCTTATAAACTAAACTAGACTGAGTTAATGTAAGAATTATTATACACACAATGGTAAAAGAAAAAAAAAAACCCATCAAAATTATGGGTGTTATTCCACTATAACTCATAAAAGTTTCGTTCGTTTAATAAAATCCAAATTGTGCAAATTAATTGGAAATACGATTTGTCTGTTTGTGAACATGCTTGACAAACACGATTGTTATATTCACGAACAAACTCGAATTGGCTGTTCAATTCAAACTTTATAAAAAAAAATAATAAATGAATTATTTGTAAACGATTTTGGATTCGCTCATTTAATAAGCAAGCTCGATCAATTAATCGAACTCACAGAAATGCTAAAGAGCCAACAGCCAATGAAACAGCTCCATGTAGGGCTGTCCCACATGACTCTAATGTTGGACAACCTCTCATGGAGCTGTCCCATTAACTGTTGACTCCTTAGCATTAGTTATCGAACTCATTCAATTTAAATAAATCAATAAGTCTAGCTCAAATTTTTACAAATCCAATCATACTATGTTTGCTAGCACTCAATTGTAGTGGCACCTCTATGCTCCAAGTCAAAATCCTCCCACATTTTTTTAAATGGAAAAGCATGAGTGGTGCACACTGCACAGTTAACCAATCACTGTAAAACTTTTTTGGCTTGCAGTGAGTTTGTCTCCACTTTTCGGAAAAAAAAAAATTAAAAAAAAAAAATACTTATAAGCACAAGAGAAAAACGTGTTCTCCACCATTTTAGTGCATAGACTGCTTTATATAATATATCACATGTAATGATTCTGGGCGGTTCAACCAAACCGAATAACAATTTGGCCGGTACCCAATGCTTGAAAAATGCATGGAATTCAAAGATATTTGACCATATATGAGTTTTATTATTTACAAATTCGTGCGTGATTTTTGTGACGGCCAAAGGTTGTTCGTGCGTGATTTTTGTTATAAAATACTATACACTACTTTTCAAACCTTAAGAGGATGCTTGGATATAAATTTTTTTGGATTTGTTTGGATTTTTTGGTTTAGTTTGGTTAATTTTGAAAAAGGTGGTATGGTTAGTTGTTAGTGGGTATATTAAAATAAGATTTAAAATAAAATAATTAAAGTTGATTTGATGTAAAAGTATGAGAGAGAGATTTGAAGTGATGGTTAGTTAAAATTATGTGAATGGATGAATAGTGAATTAAGGTTGATGTGATATGTAAGAATGATTGGTTGATATTATTTAATTATATTAATAATATTAATGATAGTTGGGTTGAGTTAAAGTTGAGTTAAAAAAAGTGGTTGAGTTAAAAATGTTTGAATTTTTTGGATAAATTTTGTATCCAAGCATCCTCTAAACGAACTCAAACTCGAACTCAAATCAACTGACAAAAACTTATTTCGTGCAATAACAAGTAATATATGCAACTCAATAAAATTATTAGAATCGGGAGAAGAGGGTGTGGTCCCACCAGCTGAAACACACTATAAGAGGGTAAACTTAGGTACACTATAGTGAGGTTTCATCCCAAAACCAATTGGTGATGGGAGGAGTAGCTCACTAGGCTCATTTACCCTGTAGAATCAATGTGAGACAACTCACAAGTGATATTTCAGCAGTTACAATCATTTTCGTAAACGTTGTAATATCCCCAATTCTCTTGTAATTTTCATTGTACCTCAAAACCCCAATTTATGTTCCGGCACCTTTAGCGTTCGTCTCCTCTGTGCCTCCCCATCAGCGAGGGCTCTGCCCCTGCACGACTCCGACTAGCCCTGGGATGGCGGCAGTCCTCCCAACGTTACATTGGCTCATCCTCCAAAGTGAATTTCTACCAGTGCTCAGGCGGCCATTGCAGAACTGTGCGACTCTCCCACTTTTCGCCGACAAATGTCGTTGTTGTCGGCCTTTGATCGCTACCTTTACGGTGGTCAAGAGCTGAGGTATGTGGTTCTCTCTCCCATGTTTTCCTTGTTCTCCCCGATGTTGGGTTGACGGGGTCCTCCAACGGGACGGTCTTTGGCTATAGTCGATCTTGGCTGGCGTCGCCTGATCGTGTTGGGGGAGAGGGTTGGTGCGGGCCCCTAGTGTTGTTTCGATGGGTTACTCTGGGGAAATTAGTTGGTCCGTTGGTCCGAATGTAGTTAGTCGTCGCTTGAAGGGAGTTTCTAGATCCGTGCCTTAGGCCGAGCCTTAGTCTTCCCGGACGTCATCATGTGTTAGTTCTCGTAGTGGAGTTTCAGAGTGGTTTCAGGCTAGTGGGAAGGACTTTATTCTAGCTAGTAGTTTGTGTTTCTTCAATGTTTAGGTTTAGTGTGTGCTATGTGATTTTTTGTATTTTAGGGTTAGATGTTTGTTCTCATTTTAGGAGTTGTATTCTCCACTAATGGAGTCTATATTATTAGATTATTGTGGGTGAGTTTGTGACAGTTTAGGCTTCTTTTTAGGATGTCCTCCTATAAAATTCAACCATATAGCTGCTAGATTCGACATTTAGTGATTGATTTCTATTTTGTGAATACGTGTTTTGTTGAAGAAGCCTATCGTCCTGAAAAAAAAAAATGTCATCCATCTAGGACAAGATTGGATATGAATTATGATCCAACTCAACCGATTGTAACTGGTTGAGTCATTTCATATCTAATCATCTAATTCAAAATCAACTCAACCAAACTCTCTTACTTTTTATAAATATAATTAAATAATGTCAATTAATAATTTTCACACATCACATTAATTTTAATTTACTATTCATCCACTCACTTTTTATAACTACAATTTTATGTATATTAAAATTAAATAAATAAAAATTTTGAATCATGACAACTGTCCCCACTCCCACGAACCAGGTCGTGGTGTTGACGCCCAGCACCAATTGCAAGCTCGAACCCTGCAAATCCAATTCGGGCCTTTTTGACGGCTCAAATTTCTCTTCACTCACGTTTAAAGCCCCTCCATTTCACCATTACATTTTAATCTGGATTTTCTCTCTCCATTAACCACCCTCCCCATATCCTCACACCACCTATCTTTCACCCTTTGTAGGGCGGCGCGTGTGCTGCGCTCGCCTTCGTCAAATCGAACAAATAACCTGGAAATGGGTCAGGCTGCCTCCACCCACAGCTATTCCCCCGGCGACAGCGGCGGGTCGGGTCGTTTTCGAACCCCCAACTTCGACCTCCACCACGCCCGCTCCATAGCCGGCAATCAGCTCACGCCGGAGGTATTCTGCGCTAATCAGCCGCAAATCGACTACACGTCCGAGATCCCCGACGAATGCCTTGCCCTGATCTTCCAATCGTTGAGCTCCGGCGACCGGAAGCGCTGCTCTCTGGTCTGCCGCCGCTGGCTCGCCGTGGAGGGCCAGAGCCGCCACCGACTCGCGCTCAACGCGTCCGCGGAGGTCACCGAGCACCTCCCCGCCGTCTTCACCAGGTTCGACCGCGTCACTAAGCTCGCCCTCCGCTGCGACCGCAAGTCCGTCAGCATAAACGACGGCGCCCTCACCCTGATCTCCTTGCGCTGCCGCAACCTCACCCGCCTCAAGCTCCGCGGCTGCCGCGAGATCTCCGACCTAGGTATGCTGGCCCTCGCCACCAATTGCAGATCTCTGCGAAAATTCTCCTGCGGATCGTGTATGTTCGGCGCCAAAGGCATGAACGCGCTTCTGGATAACTGCTCCTCCCTGGAGGAGCTCTCCATCAAGCGGCTTCGGGGGCTCAACGATGGGTACGCAGCCGAGCCGATCGGCCCGGGCGTGGCGGCTTCCTCTCTAAAATCGATCACGCTCAAAGAGCTGTACAACGGTCAGTGCTTTGGCCCTCTAATTATTGCATCCAAAAATTTGAAATCCCTAAAGATTTTGAGATGTTTGGGGGATTGGGATCGGTTGCTCGAGACCATCACCAGGGGTAAAAGCTCTCTGACCGAGATTCATCTGGAGAGGCTGCAGGTGAGCGATGCCGGCCTAATAGCTATTTCAAAATGCCCAGATTTGGAGATCTTTCACTTGGTGAAGGCTCCTGACTGCTCAAACGATGGAATCATAGCCATTGCCGAGAACTGTAGGCTTTTGAGGAAGCTCCATATAGACGGGTGGAGAACGAACAGGATAGGTGATGAAGGTTTGGTTGCCATTGCCAAAAACAGCATGAATCTCGTTGAATTAGTGCTTATTGGCGTAAACCCTAGCTCCGTGAGCTTGATGGCTATGGCTTCCAACTGCCAGAAACTGGAAAGGTTGGCTCTTTGCGGGAGCGAATCCATTGGGGACCCTGAGATCGCATGTATTGCGGCTAAATGCAGCGCGCTAAAGAAGCTTTGCATAAAGGGCTGTCGTGTGACAGATTCTGGGATCGAGGCTTTTGCGTTCGGGTGCCCTAATTTGGTTAAGATTAAGGTCAAAAAGTGTAGGGGAGTTACTAGTGAGGTTGCCGAATGGCTTAGGGCAAGGAGGGTGACTTTGTCCGTTAATTTGGATGCTGATGAGATAGAGCCTGAGGCCTTGGATGCCAGCACGAGTGACGGGGGTGTACAGGAATACGGCATTGAGTTCCCAGCTGTGGTGAATGGGCCTGCGAATGTGGATGCTCCATCGACGAGTAATGGGGCCCGCTTGCCTAATAAGTCGAGGTTTAGCATTTTTGCTGGGAGGACTCTTGCGGCCTGTGCCTTCCGGAGGCTTTCGGGCGGTAATGGTAATTCGAACGGTAGCTTGTGAATGGGGAAGGGGAAGAAATTTGGGTTAAGGTTGGGAAAAATAGTGTTGACCCTCTTGTTAGGGTGTGTTTATGTTTTTTTTGTCTTTGTGTGTGCGTGATTTGGGTTACGCTATGTTTCGGACTTGCTGTTGTTGTGTTGATTGGGTTTATGGGTTATGTTGTGTGTAAACTGGCGGCCACTCAAAAAACGTGCGCATTGAGGTTCCTTTGTTTTTTTCTTTTTTTATACCATTTGATGATTTCTGTTCTGTTTCTCTTTGTTTTGAGATAATTTGCCTTCTTTTTATGTGTGATGAGTTGATTCCTTGAGTTGTTATGAGGAGTGAGTTAATGTTGTCTGGTGTGATGCCTTGTTTATTTCTTGAAGGTGTGGGTGATTTTCTTTTCTTTAATTCTTTGGCTTACNTGTCACTTTCCTAACTGTTGATACTATTAGATTATGTTCGAGACGAGAAATATATTCTGCTTGATTCTATTTCACCTGAAGGAAGGCTTACAGAAAATTTCATGCTGGAGATACTTCTTATTGTTGTGCTATTAGTTTTATTTTTGGAAATTCCTTAGATTTCTGCTTGTCTGCTGACAGAAGGTGGTTAATAGTTTTTTCAGTTATGTGTTTATCGTATTTGGTCTGACAGTAATATGTAGGTGACATTATTTGAATAGTAGAGATTTCAATAGTTATTCTGCAACATATTACGTGATTGAATTGTTTGTTGATCTTTGTGATTCTCGTAATCCCATTGAATTCGAACCAGTCAGTTCATGAGGCTTCACTTAAGCTGGTCCTCCATGGAATCTTATTAAAGCATGAATAGATTTTGGACTATTTACAAAGAAGACCTTGAAATGTCTTCACAGTTACATAGGCATCCCCTTAGGTGGTTTTATTCTGTCTTACACTTAACATGTAATTATTACAATTGCACTCCTCATTTTTCTAAATTGCCCTTCAGTTCCTACCTTGCTGTCTTCAGAAACTTTACTGCCTTCTTGAATGCAATTATACATGCTTGTTTGATTGAATTCTTCTCTTCGTTTTTGGCTATGGCATTTGATTTCTCCGACTCTGGAGCTTGGGAGGCTGAAATTGGCTTTAGATTCATTTGGATATATACATCATATTTGTTTGAATGTAGATCGAAGATGCTTAGGCTAAGTTATTTTGTTTAGGGATCAAATTTGTTTGCTCACAATGCGATTATAGTTTGATGAGCAAGCTATTCAACTAAAGCATGATACAATATTGTTTAGCCATTCCCGAATCTTAATTGAATTTTTGCATATTGTGTTTGAATTTCATTTAATGATTGAGTTCAAGATTAATTTGGTTACACATAATTTGTTACTATTTCACTTGTTAATGTCGAGCCTATTCAGTAGTTGGACTTGATGTCAGTTTATTAGGCTGTTTAGCTATGGGAAATTAAAATTTCATGTGACATTTTAGAATTGTATTTTGAAAGTCTTTCTTGTTCTGTCAATAATGTGCTTTAACCCTATATTCGTTATTTGTCCCGACTTTATGCAATATGACAGCATGGTAGTATCGATCAATCACCAATGTTTATGTAGCACATATTTTATACAACAGTAACACTACCGTTCTCCGTTGGATCTAACGATTAGACTGATATATTTTTTTTTTTTTGTCATAAATATGAATATTTTTAAATTGAAATGTTATACTCTGAAAATAATATAGACAAAAGTACGACATTTCATGTCATTAGTATGCATTTTTGTAGAATAAGTACGATAAGTCAGACTCGCCTAACTATTAGGCTGTCTCACACAAAAAAAATGTATTGATATAGAATTTATTGATGGCTAAGAGCCTCATACCCGCCAAAACAATTAGCCTGTCACACATAAGTATTTGTGTTTATAGAGAATCGACGGGTCGACCCGCCTAACGATTAGGATGCCGCACATAAGTATTTGTGATTATAAAGAATCTATTCGTAACTGAAAAACAACCAACTGAAAAACTACTATAAAAAATGAACTATTACTTATACAGTAAACCAATATTAAAATTAATCTTATGTGAGCTTAAAATAAATTAGATATTATGTTATATTAACATATTTTATCATTAAAAGTGAAAGCACGCTACACCATACCTTCCACATAAGAACTATGTATCCATAAAAATAGAGGGTTGTTCATCATTTGAGTGTGTTCGTTTACAAGTTATCTCATATTCATACTTAAATTATACTCATACTCAAAACCCAACTCAACTACATTTTCTTCAATATTATCAATCAATCATCTTTATATATGACATCAACTTTAATTCAATGTTCCACTCATAATTTTAACTATTCATACTTCCTATCACTTTCAGTCACTTCTCTTTTACTTTTACGACAAATCAACTTTAATCATTTAAATATTATTGTAATATACAATTAAAATCTAACTAACAACTAATTATATCAACTTTTTTTTAAAATTAGCATNTACAAAGTGAGAGAATTCCATTTTAAAATTTAAGTTTCTGTTTGTTGAACTAAATTGATGTAAAATATGTTATAATACCAAATTGCTATACCATAAAGTTGGTGGAAGAAAATAAGAACCCAGAACCTGAAATAGTGAATAAAAGATTCATTATATATTTATTTTCTTTAAAATATTAACTCATGACAAGAAAGGAAGAGAGTGACACATTGAACTTGGGTACAAAAGTTCAATGACAAATAAACCCCTAATGTAGTTTTATGCATAAACCCTAATTCCAATTTCTATAACTTCTCCATCGTTGAACCCCTCGCGCGCCCTTCTAACGATAGAGCATCCAACCAACTTCCACTTCTCGGGTAATGATGGAGGATTTCTTCACCACAGCGACAAAAGAGGTAACCTTTAATTTGTTTCTGGTAATGCTGTCTATATGCATCCATTGCCTGAGTTTGTGTATGAAATTTAGCAGTGTTGAGAGTTTATTTGCTTAAAGATGGTTCCTTTTTGCCCCGCTTGTAAAGTTTATCAGTTTGGTTTTCGAGTGCCTTTCGTTTAATTTTCGCGACTTGTTAGGTTTGAAATAATCGCTAATGGTTGGGAAAATATGTTCATTAGGTCATTTATTTTGGTTTTATTGGTTTCATTAGGTGTTAGTTGAAATGGTGAAGCTGGCGCAGAAGAGAGAGATGGCAGGGAGCAAAGGTCACTGGAAAGATTTTTTGAAGTTTTATGATAAGAAGTTTGGATCAAGCTTGAGTGACCCGTCCCGCAGGTCCATTGATTCGTTGGTGGCATTTTTGAAAACCTTTGAGCAAGATGAGGATTTGAAGGTAATCTCTGTTAGACTTGCTATTTTTTGTCTTCCCAAGATAGAAAATGTATGATGTTAGTTTGTCATGCCTTGTTTGCAGTTGTTCAAGAAAGTATCTCAATGTCACTCCAACCGTGTCGAGGTGGAGGAGTTTAAGAAAGAAAACCCTGATTTAGAAACAGCTGAACAGGTCTAAACTTTGGATTTATTTGTAGCAAAGGACCTCAGTGACTTGCAGTCTTCATTCACCATTGAATGGTATCATGAAGCCTTTTTTTTTTTTTTTTTNTTTTTTTTTTTTTTTTTTTGGTGTGCCTGTGTGTGAATGCAGGAGTTAGTCCGTTTGACTCTCGAGCATCCTCTGTACCCAGTTGAATATTCCTTCCCCTCATACGAGGAGGTAATTTTAATTATTTATTACTTCTGTAATCTTGTTTATACGTTCTCCTCTGTGGCTTGGTTTTTCAAGAAAAACTTGTAGCTTCAACTTTTATGGTGTTCGATTTATATCATGTTTTTCCCGAGACATGTGTGTCTATATGTGCTAAGTAATTTAATTTGGCATGGTTCTTCATTGTGCTTTTGAGATGGAACAGGAATGGGTGGTCGTAAAATGCAGTAAAAAGTCGAAGGCCAAGAAGTTTCCGGAGTTAATTTCCATTGACTGTGAGATGGTCCTTTGTGAAGATGGCACTGAAGCATTGGTGAAGGTGTGTGCTGTCGACCGCAATTTACAGGTAGCACGTTGACACTTTACTATGTACTGTATTTCCATATGTTTATGTTCAGGCATCTTCGTGTTTGTGCTTTCATAACTTGATGTTTTTAACCTTAGGTTAAGCTTGATAAAGTTGTGAACCCAAATAAAGCAATTGCTGATTATCGGACAGATATAACTGGAATCTCTGCCAAGGATTTAGATGAAGTTACTGTTTCGTTGAAAGATGTGCAGGTATATTTTTTGACTGTTTCTTGTAGATGATTAATATTTATCTTCTCATGTTGTCTTCAGTCTTTTGCTTGCTTATGTGGTCCCCTGACAGAAATCTGTGAAGAAATTGTTGTCGCATGGCACAATTTTGGTTGGCCACAGTGCGAACAATGATCTTCAAGGTAAGTTATGCAACTTGACATCTTAAACTTTTGTATCTCCATACATGACACATAACCACCAGAGGTTCGTTTGCTAAAGGACTCTTATTCGAGGAATGAATTTAGGCTAAAATCCCAATTCTTATGACCTTTTGGTAAAAAAAAATGAGATTGTCTTTTAGAATATTTGAAATCTTTAGTTCTTTATTTGTTTTGCTCATGTGAAGCATTGAAGGTAGACCACACAAGAGTGATAGACACGTCATATATCTTCAAGCATGCCAAGTCCAACAGAAAACCTTCTCTGAGTTTGTTGTGTAAGGTGACTTACAAGTTACATCCCATTCATTTGTTCTAGAAACATCTCATTACTGCCCGAATGATCTGTTAACTTCATGCGTGACTTATTCCAGCTATTATAATAGTGAATCAAAATAAAAACGCTCTTCATTTGTGTTATCTCCAGAAGTGCTTTATTACCAGAAGACATGTCTCAGGCAATGATTCATAAACTATTTCATATTCTGTATTGTACACTAGACTAAATTAGGTTATGAGCTCCGGGAAAAGGGAAAGCCACACAATTGTCTAGATGATGCTTGTGCCGCCATGAAGCTCGTCTTGGCCAGATTGGAGGGAAAAATAGATAGTGTATTAATAACTGATGAGGTAACTTCAGTAAATCATCAATATGTTAATGCAACTATTATTCAAAGTCGAGACATTACTCCACAAGCATTATATATTAGGTGAAAGAGTTGGACGTGACCAAGTTGCTTGTGCATAGAATCCCTTTTACCATTCTTAGCACAGATTTGAAGAGCATGCTACCTGGGGATTGTACTGTTGAAGTGAAGGTTTGTATGATGCTCATTCTCCCGCATTTCTTCTTTTTGTGCTGCTTTCGTATAAAATTTTATTTTGGCCATTCGTTTGGTATAGAGCGATCACTACACAATCGCCTGTTCACTGTCACTGATAGTAGTTATTTTTATCAGGTGGGTATCAAAGTCAAGAACACATATACGGCCTTTGCAATTTATAAAAGTCGGCAAGAAGCAATTGAAGCTTTTGAGAATCTTGAAGGTGATTTTGGAAAGGTTTGTTGTTCCCTGTTCCTATGCCCTGTGTCTATTATGTAAAGATGTTTGGATAAAAAGATTAGATTTCTCGTCTTAAAATTTAATTTATTTAATTTCCATAATTTTTGCTAGGACTCATATGGGCGACCTCAGAAGCTTGTGAATTTCGAGCTCGATTCAGGAGAAAATGTTACTTTGTGTGTGTGTAAAACTTTTGGGGAGGATGACGTTGGCCAGCTATCGAAGAAGAGGTTGATCGAAGATGAGAGTGTTGGCAAATCAAAGAAGTTGAAAAACGAGGATTCCACCAATCAGTGTGACACACATCTGGAAGAAATTAAAAGATTAAAGAAAGAACTAAAGCAGAGAGACCAGGAAATTTCGAGCTTGAATAAAATAGTTGCTGCACTTACTAGAAAACAAGGGCTTTGAAAGCATTCTTGTAGAAATGCCTGATGTTTTCCTTGAAACAAGATCGAAACGATTAGATTGAGGCCTTTCTCTTGGAGAAGCCTGAAACGAGATTTTTTTTTTAACATTTTTTTTTGCCATAGGAAAGGGATTTTGATTCTTTTTATGTACTGGGGAATTGCTTGAGATGATACATCTCAGAATCTGTTATCTCTATCAATGCAATATACATATTTGTGATTTTTCTTTTTCTATTTGTTCTTTTCAGAAATTTTAACGGCAATGTTGCACCAATTTTGCTTCTTATTTTTCTTTTTTTGTATTCAAATCTTCCTGGTTAAAAGCACTTTTCATGATCCAAGTGGCGGAACGTAACCAAATCCCCCATCTGTTAATAAACCTGGGTTACTCTTAAAACAATAAAAATGTAGTCATCCTTTAGACATGCTGAACCTATTGTTTCACAAATTTCGAATTTGAGTATGACCGTAAACAATTTTTTTTTTTTCCTTTTTTTGANNNAAAAAAGACAAGGATACAAATGAGTTCCACATAGCCCAATTGGAATATATCTCGAATAAATCAGTCGCTCTCGTAATCCTCGTCATCCCCAAAGCTGAAAACCGAGGCATCGGCCGCGATGGCCTTGATATCAGTCGAGTCCATGTTCGGAATTCTCGAGCCTCCCGCGTTGTGGGGCCCACCGGCCTTCGACTCGTCGTGTGAAACGGCATTCGCATCCCCGACAACCGAGACAGAGGACTCGGCACGTTGGGTGGGCCCCACCCCACCACCTCGAGAAGAAGAAGATTCCTCTTCTTCCCCTTCGCTGTCCGTAAAAACATCGTCCTTGTCGTTTTGTTCTTTTTTCGAGGATGGGCCAACAGGGCTTGCCTGTTTCCCGTCACAAGTTGTCGAGCTGTGCTCGGTTTTGGTCTCGGTAGAAACAGTCTCGTTGTAATCTGTCATCACAATCTCCACCTGAAACCCTGGAGAAGGCAATTTCCTCTGCAAGGAGGGGATCGTGATTCGTGTATATACTTGAAACGTGTTGGAAATGAAAATTTCATTTTAAACAATTAATAATAATTTAACCGGGAGAAAGCTTACGCTGTCAAAGCCATCGAGGTCAGAACCATCTAAAGTCGTTCTATTTTCCATCATTGTTGTGTTCATCCAACTGCGTATGTGTTAAACAGTTACCCAGGAAAAAAGTGAGACTGGAAGAATAATATATCACGCGTAAATAATAAAAGTCCTATGGTAATAGAGTGTGGTTACTAGTAAGTGAAGTTAATGTTAGTGAAGTGAAATTCCAAATTGAGGCACCATTCTAATATTTTTGGACATGAACTGGTTGGTATGTTTGTTACCAAGTGAAAACATATACTGAGCCTAAGATTACACATAAAACACATTAGCTTACCAATAGAAATCTCCTTGACGATCGTGAAAATGAATTTTGAAGTCCCCCACTAGTTTGGTTAGACCAGGTTCTCCAGGTAGAGCGAAAACCACAACCCCCTTTTTCCGTGCACGTATCCAGAAATCTTCTGGCTGCAAAAGGTCAACAGACGTGAAATGGTGTCGGGCCCCTCTAAATACAAGGATTAGTGGACTGAAAAAGGAAAATTACCATAAGATCCTTGGTCCTTGGGTGCTTTTTCGTTGTAAACAACACTCCTGTCGAACATTTAAAGTTACTGATAAGCTTGCAATGAACGTTTCGTGAAAGGAATGAAAAATGAATCTAGCCACATACCGTTATGATTGGATATAGTAATAGAAGGCCTGACCCAATAAGGACAGTTGAGCAGCCGGAATCCTCTTAGCATGCACCTGCAACAAATTATTATTACCTTAATTGGAAAAACCACACCATGATGAACATAGGAAATGATAATCGGAAAAGTACCTACGTCCAGGGGGAGTTTCACCATTGAATTGTGTCAAGATCTGTTCAAAATATTTCACGTATCTCTGATTAAAACACACAAAAAAAACAGAAATTAGTCAATTTTTATAAAAGCTATAGGCATTTTCACAGGACACATGAAATATCTGTCATACAATCTGACTTGGAAGGATGAGACCCTTCCCATCAATGCATCTTTGCTGGTTGTAGTAGTTAATGCACTCCTCAGCAGATGGGAAAAACTGCAGTTAAACATAAAAGGTAGAAATCAGGAACGACAAAAAAATAAATCAATAGAATAATCGAACCAGTTATTCTTGGTCAAAGAACAGAAACAAGGGTTTTGATTTGCTCTGTGACCCAAGTTTTACCTTCAGAAACAGAAGAAGGCTACATATCATCAATCCTGTCCTTGCCTTCCCAGCTTTACAGTGAACAACTACCACATTTACTATATCCTCCTTCAGCCATGAGTAAGCACTTTGACAAAACAATTTTATAAGCTCAATCGGAGGGCAGTTGTGGTCGTCAAACGGGAAAGTTGCTACCTGGTTAAAGGTAAAGCAGTTAAATAAAATCTGAAATGAGCAATTTGCATATTCAGTTAGGTTTAGTTAACTCGACACCAGCTCTTCCACTACAAGATCCAATGAATAAATCGCTATTTGAGTGTCTGGATATCAAACCTAGTTTTTTTTATTTCTTTTTAGTTATCTTCAATTACAAAAACTAGATCTAAAAAAAACTGAAACTTCTTCAATTGGCTACTGGGAACAACCCAACAGTTAACATTCACCAGCATGAGCGCCCCAAGTCGGAATATCTACCCTCAAAAGTGTGCCACCATCTCCACCAAAAAACTTTTCCCAGCATTAAATGTGAGAATAATATCACAATCATAATCAAGCCATGATGATCAATGCAGGAAAGAGGAGAAGCAGTGGATTATTTGACCATTGATTGTGTTGACTATTTTTGCCAAATTGACACATCATTACTTTCAACTTCATCAGGCAAGATAATTTAATTATTTATTAAAACACAGCAAACATAGCTGATACTCATAATTACAAAATTTCAAGTGCTTGTACAAAAAAATGAAATTAGAAAGTTTTGATACACTTCCAACTGAGGTCCAAAAAGATTGATTGCAGATCGAAAATACCTTTCCTTCAAACAGCGATGCATCATATAATCTCTCTGAACAGAGATTGTACACCTTGTATTTTCCCTGAATAAATAAACCAGTATTATACATGAAGAATTCTGATGATAAAATGCAGAAAAAAAAGAAAGAAAAAAGAATTCCTCCATTAATATACCTTGTGATGAGTCTCAAAAAACTTGATAACTTCTTCCATGTGATTACGATAGAATCCCTGCATCATACATGAAGGTAATTCCCAATCTACTGCAAAATACTTAAACCAGGATGTGGGAACATCAAAGGAGCATTACCTCAAAATATCCAAAAAGACCAGAACTTAAATCACCAGCAGGGAACCCCATTGCAATTATATTCTCAGTTATATATGTCATATCTAAGTCAAATCCTCCCTCCTGATGACAGTCAAACAAATTCGTTTTGGAATAAATGATTACTGAGCAACTTAAACTTGGAAAAATAGAGTAATCATGATAAACAGGTTCGGAAAGAATTCAAATATACTTGTATTTACATCATTAAGAATATCAATTTAAGTATGACGTGGAATACCTGGTATCTTCTCTTATTTTGAGACACAATGTGTCTAGCCTTTACTTGCACAGCTTTCACGGCATTTAAAGAGGAGTCAACTATCCCTTTCGTTAATGACCCAATAACACCCGATTGTGACGAGGTAGAGCTGTTGCTAGCACTCTCATTTGATGAGGATGCTTTTGACGAAATCTGCAACCCAAGTCCACTAGTGAAGCGTGAAAAAGTAGAACCTGTGGAATTCGAAGTCTGCGAGTCTTGTTGCTTTTGAAGAAGATTTAGACTTTTAGCCCAAGAAGATATTGCTGATGTGGATAGACCAGAAGATGAATTCTGGGCAGAATTTTTCTTATCCGAGACAACAGAAGGTGGAGATTTATCATCAGATCGTTCATCGGGCTGTGGTGGGATAGATTCAGCAGTTCCTGAGTCCATTCTGACATTCCAAACAAAGGTTCATTAACAACCCAAATAAAATTCGGTTGTTTAAGCTACATTAGTCTAATCTATGCTCACAAAGTACCAGTACAAGCTTCACAAATGTATCATAGAAATTGAAAATGACAAATCAATACATATGCACAAATCACTAAACAACAGTGTCAGCATTCACATACCAGTCTTGCTTAAAAAGGTTATTCTGGGAACGCCTAAACTCAATCCTTTCGGACATTCATGCTTTAACAAGTCTCATGCAAACACAAAAGAACAATTTCTGAACATGAGTTGCAGTAGAGTTATTATAAAAAAACATCAGGCATAACGGCTCCTAGTTTCAAAAGTTTGTGTTCATAAACCACCTGTTTTTCTTTCCTCAACATTTAAGTTGAATGGGGTAAGAAGATACATTTAGTCATTTACATTGAATGCATACATCACCAAACCAAACCTATGCTTATTAAAGAACAGCCATGGAGAAAACAGAACCACACAACCAAACAAACAAATCCATAAACGAAGATCAAATGAAATTAAGATGCTAGTAGATATGTGCTGCATTTTCATGTCAAAAATGCAAACATCGGCAATGAAAAAACAAAATGTAAAACAAAACATTTGCAATTGTCTAAAGAATTTAGATCTATTGCATAGAAATGAATCGTCTCGATAATAAATGCGCGAATCACCTCGCTTGAAGATTGTGATACTTTTGCTCAGATTCTTAAACTGCTCGAAATCTATTCTGTTGAGGATTTATGCAGAATGGTGATCTTCAAACTGAAATGTGGGATCAAGAATGTCGCGATAATATTATGCTTTCGAAAATTTGTCTGGAGTGAGGCTGGAGATATTTCTGTATAGATTGTGATCTGATTGAATTTATTTTACAGGTTTTATTGTTCATGAGAAGAGATTCAGTGTGGGCGGGTTCACGGCTTATATAAGACTACAAAACTATTTGGTAACTGTGGATGGTGCTGGCTTGGATACAAATTAGATTGAATTTGGAATTGATTTTTTGGTTAAGCATGGTTAATTTAAAAAAGTTCTTTGAATTAAGTTTTTAAATATAGTTATTTTGAAACAGTTGGTTGAATTAAGTTTTTGCGCGATTTTGAGTTTGTAATAAAATAATATTTAAAATAAAATAATAAAATTGATTTGATATAAAAGTAAAAAAGTGGTGATTTGATGTGATAATAATTAAAATTATACGAACGCATAAATAGTGATTAA